TAGCTTTTCCATGCAATCTAGCTGCCAGCCGACGTATTTCTCCTTATCACGTGACTGTCCGTGGGTCAAAATTCACAAGACAAGACTTATTGTGACTTTAGAATTTATGTTTGATAAATGTAACTATTCAAGTTGTATTGTTACGTCATGTTTGACGTTGAACTTTTTATTTATAGATTCTGTTAAAAATGAATTTTTGGATAATGTGTGGTTAAAATGCAAAAAAGAGTTAAGGATTTACGTATAAAATTATTTTGTTGATAGAATATGTAATAAAAAATGAATATGGAAAAAATAATTTTAAAAAAAATCTATACGAAACATGGACTTTTGTACTAATACTACAAAAACTATCGACAAGATTAAATGATTATTATTCAAATTTAACAAAATTTAACTTGGTTCACGAAGATGTTTGCCGCTAATTAAGTTAAGGTTGATGATCCATTTATCACAATAAAATTGGAGATTAGATTGCAATTAAGTCCAAGAATGGGAGACAATAGTTTGTAATTTACTCTCTAAATTAAAGAGGCTTTGCTCTCATTTTGTCTCTTCATAATGTACTAATTAAGTACATCATTGAGAAAAAATGGTATTTCGCTATTAATCATTTAGAATCAATCGTTGTTCGATTACAAAATTCGTCATTGAGAATCATGTTCACTAGTAAGAAAAAGTTACAATCAGAAAAAAGTTAAATGAAGTTATTGAAACTCCTCCTCACTCGAGTCTCCTATAAAAATGCAGACAAGCTTCGTGCTAATAATAATTTTATTAAAAAATTAATTCTAATATTAATTGCTGAATAATTAGGTTTTATATATTTTAGTGCATTGGTTTGGTGTATTTAAAATAGTACTAATTCAATTTAACTATATTCCAATTATAATAAAATTTGAGGAATTTTTATTTTACATAAAAAATATCAGATTGTTGTATTCTACCATTTAACATTTTTGCTTTTCTTAATGTCTAATCATTATATAAAGGAAAAAGTTTAAAATATATTTGCAAAATCCACGTAACTTTATGGGGCAATATGAAAATATACATAAATGTAGGGACATAAAACTGAAAGATGAAACGAAATGAACTCCTAGTTTTCCTCTTGTATTTCCGTCCCTCACTCTGTACATATGAAAACAGAAAACCTGACTCTATATACGTATCTTCGTCTTTCTATCTAACACAGAAGTACTTTCTCTCTCTACGCGGCGTCCAAAGAGTGCACCGCCTTCCTCTATCTACGCCATTAAAGGTACGCTTTTGATTCTTCTTCATCCACGCATCTTTGTTTATTACTTGATCCCCTATTTTCTCCGTTTATCCAACAAAAAACCCTAATTAGACTAATAACACTCTTTCTCTCTCCCTAATATTCGATTATTAGTTCTAAGAATAATTTTCGGTTAAATTGATTTATTTTTTTAAAAGTGTAGTATTATTATTACTGTGAGAATCCTGGATTTGATTGTTATTATTATTTTTTTTGCAAAATATATTTACAGTGAGATCTCCTGGGGGGAGTGCTGATTGATTTATTATTGTGGAGGGGAGAGGGAAAAAATTTGGGTTAGGGTTTTGATGCGCTGGTGTGGGTTGAGATCCGTAAGGTCAGTTCAGGTGACAGGTCCGGTTTGGGGATGGCCAATTCTGGTGCCAAGTTTGTGTCTGCGAATCTGAACAAGTCTTATGGACAGCAGCACCAGCCTTCTCATTATGCTCATCATTCAGCTTTTAGTGGCAGCAGTGGTTCTTATGGGCAGGTTGGCACTGGGGCTCGGGGGCGCCCTGGGAGTGGAGGTACGGGAATGGTGTTGTTGTCAAGGAATAGGGTTACACAGAAGGCTGGTCCAAAACTCTCTGTTCCACCCCCCTTGAATTTGCCCTCCTTGAGGAAAGAACATGAAAGATTTGATTTGTCTGGGCCAGGCGGAGGTTCGGGTGGTGGCATCGGTCCTGGAAATGGGCCGAGGCCCACTTCATCAGGTTTGGGCTGGACCAAGCCTGTGACAGCTACTGCTTCATCAGAGAAGAATGAGAGCAGTGTTGATGTTCATGTGACTGATGGAATGAATGCTACTGATGGATTAAGTCGTGGCAGTAGTTCTTATTTGCCAATATCAGCTCAATCTGATGAGCTTGGGGTTGCTCGTTCTGGTTATCCTGGGGCATTTCCACCATCAGCAGAGAGAATCACAGTTTTGAGAGGTGAGGATTTCCCCTCTTTGCAGGCTGCAAGGCCTGTTTCATCAGGCACATCACAAAAACAGAAGGATGCTTCGAACCAAAAACAGAAGCAGGCAGTAAGTGAGGAAACGTCTGAGGACAAGAGGGACAGTTACAATTCAAGTTTGCTAGCTGATATGCGGAAACAGGGGCAGTCTTCACGTAGTACTGTTGGAAATGAGTCATTGGAGAATGGTGGAGAAGTTCATAGGATGGGCAGTTTGCGAATGGTAGATCACGCTCGGAAGCAGGAAGATTACTTTCCTGGTCCACTGCCACTGGTTCAGTTTAATCCGAGATCTGATTGGGCTGATGATGAGCGTGACACTGGCCATGCGTTTGCAGAACGGGGAAGAGAAGTTGTGGGTTCAAAAATTGAAAATTATTGGGATAGGGATTTTGACTTGCCCAGACCCAATGTTTTAATGCAGAAGCCTGTTCATAATCAAAATCATTGGAGTCAACGAGACAATAAAAATAGAAATGACCCATATAAACTGGACCCATATAACAGAGATTTGAGAACAAATAGTGGGGAAGGCAGGGAAGTCAACAAGTGGAGAACCTCATCACTTCCTAAAAACGGATTAAATTCTCAAGAGGTTGGAAATGACCGATATGGTGTCGGTGCGAGGACTGATGGACCTAACAATGCTGTGAAGGACAATAAGTACATTACACCACATTTTGGTGACACTGGTAGAGATGGAAGTGTGATGGTTAATCGGGATTCTTCATTTGGAAGGAAGGATGTGGTACATGTTCCAGATGTGCGGCAGCAATTTAACAATTCAATGGAAATACATAATAATCGAGATCGTTATGGTGCTGAACAATTTAACAGGTATAGGGGTGATAATTTTCAGAATAATGCATTATCTAAATCTCCATTTTCTTCTAGTGGGAAAGTTCCTCCTATGACTGATGTCAAACTGACTTTGATCAGGGAGAAACATGCTTTTTCAAAAGGAGATAAACTGTTTACGGAGGACCCCTTTTCCAAAGACTTTGGTTCTACGAGTTTCGACGAAGGGGAGCTCTTTTCCAGGGATCTTGTTGGTGCAATTAAGAGGAAGAAGGATGTTGCTAAGCCGAATGATTTTCATGATCCTGTTAGGGAATCTTTTGAGGCAGAACTTGAAAGAGTTCAGAAGATGCAAGAACTTGAGAGGCAGAGGATTATTGAAGAACAAGAAAGAGCTTTGGAGCAAGCTCGAAGAGAAGACGAGGAGAGACTGAGAAGAATCAGGGAAGAGGAAGAAAGGCAGCGAAGGTTAGAGGAGGAAGCTCGTGAAGCTGCTTGGAGAGAAGAACAGGAGAGACTGGAGGCTATACGAATAGCTGAAGAGCAAAGAATTGCCAGGGAAGAGGAGAAGAAGACTACTCTTATGGAGGAAGAGAGGAGGAAGCAAGCTGCCAAACAAAAGCTTTTGGAATTGGAGGCTATGATGGCTAAGAGGCAGAGTGAAACTTCTAATATTGACGCTTCCGTGTCTAATGTGATTGTGGATGATAAAGTGGATGCTGGGGTGAAGGAAAAAGATAGCTCAGGGACTGTTGATTTGGACAACTGGGAAGACAGTGAAAGAATAGTGGCTAAGCTGATGATAACAGAACCGTTGGATTCATCTGCTTACAACGGACGTTCTGATATCAGTTCTAGGCCTTACCCTCAAGAAGTTGCTTCAAGCTTTTCTGACAGAGGAAAAAGTGTTAATTCATGGAAAAGGGATATGTTTGAAAATGTGAGTATGTTGCCCTTCCCAACACAGGACCACGAGATTGGTCATAACAGTCCGAGAAGAGATGCATATGGTGGTGGCTGGACAGTTGCTAGGAAAGAATTCTATGGTGGATCTGGATACATGAATTCTAGGGCTTATTCCAAAGCAGGCATTCAAGAGCCTTTCTTAGATGACTTTGGACGTCAGAAAGACCATAGGTGGAACGTGCCAGGGGATGTTGACTTGTATAGCAAAAACAGGGACATCAATTCCGATTTTCATGATAATCTTGCAGATAAATATGGTGATAATGGATTGGGACAGGCCCGTTCTCGTAGTAGTACTTGTGCACCTTACCCAGAGCGACTGTGTGCAGATGAGCTTTATCCATATGGAAGGTCACGGCATTCTATGAAGCAGCCTCGCGTCCTCCCCCCTCCACTTGCTTCCTCTCAAAGAACTTCTTTCAGGGGTGTGAAGGAGCATCCTGGTCCATCAGCTGTCCTAGATAATGGCATCCATTATCCTTACAGAGCAGGAAGTGAATCCACTAGGCAGACAGGTTATTATGGGGGTAACCAGGAAGCCCTTGAAGCATCCAGCCTTGTCGAACTGCGGCAAGAAAATGCCCCTAATGAAGACCAGAGATTGAAGGACATTTCATCAAGATGTGACTCACAATCTTCACTATCTGTTTCAAGTCCCCCCAACTCTCCGCCACATCTCTCCAATGATGAATTGGATGAATCTGGAGATTCTCCTGTGATATCCATAGTAGCAGAAGGAAAAAAGAATCAGCAATCTGCGATTGATTCTGTTATCTTGAATGATCGTTCTGGAAATGAAGCCATGCTAATAGCACCAGGTTCTACTTCTGCTGGTGAGGATGAGGAGTGGACTCCTGAAAATGATGATGAGTTGCAGCAGCAAGAGGATTATGACGAGGATGAAGATGGTTATCAGGAAGAGGATGAAGTGCGTGGAGGATATGATGGGAATCTTGATCTGGACCCAAAAATTGAAGATTTGCATCTCGAGGACAGAGATTCTTCTCATATTTTGGACAATGTGGTCTTAGGCTTTGATGAAGGCGTTGAAGTTGTAATACCAAGTGATGATTTTGCGAGAAATTCAGGGACCAAAGAAAGCACATTTGGAATTTCTGGCACTCATGTTCGTATTGCGGAAGAACAAGGAGCTATCAATAGGGTTCGAGATGATGAACAAAGCTTTCTGACTGCAAATGATTCCTTTGGGACAAGCAAAGATAGATCCTCTCGGAAGGTCCAGGAAACTGATAAGGTGTTGCCAGTGGCTACTGTTCAGCCTATCAGTGCTCCTTGTGCCTTGTCTACATCAGATTTTTTATATGTCGATGCCTCAGGTAGCTCTGGTTTACCTGCTCAACAACCTATATCAGCTTCAGGTGATGTTACATCTGGTGCTGGTGAGATCAATATGTCATCTATGGCTTCTGCTGGGACTCGGGCTGACGTACCTGTTAAGCTTCAATTTGGGCTGTTCTCTGGTCCATCTCTGATACCATCTCCAATTCCTGCCATTCAGATTGGTTCAATACAAATGCCCCTCCATATTCATCCTCCTATTGGTCCATCTCTTACTCATGTGCATCCTTCACAACCTCCTCTCTTCCAATTCGGTCAGCTGCGCTATACATCTCCTATCTCCCAGGGAATTTTGCCCATGCCCCACCAATCAATGTCCTTTGTCCAGCCCAACATGCAGGCCCATTATAATCTGAATCAAAATGCTGGAGGCTGTGTGCCTAACCAACCTGCTGAAGATGCTTCCCGACATGCAGTAAAAGATGAGGTGACCTCTCTCTCGGTTAATAAGCAGTCTAGTTTGGTGTCAGGACAACCAGAGCAATCTCATGGGAACCTTCCCAGGGAATTAGGTTCAGTTTTGGCAGATGACAGTTCAAAAGGCAACTTTCTTAGACATTCGATCAGTTCTGGGGTTTCTGGTGCCTGTGATAAGTTAGAATCTGTTTCTCCATCAGTAGAGAAAGGACAACGTGATTCTGTTTCGAACAATTACTTGTCATCTTCAAATGAGAATAGATCTGTAAGTCAGTTGCAGCGTGTACAACCATCATCGAAGTATGTTTCTGGTGAGAAAAATTTCGGTAGACCAAGACATCAAGGCATAGGGGGTAGCAGAGGGAGAAGGTATGCCTATGCAGTAAAAAATTCCAATGCGAGATCTAATTTTCTGGCTCCTGATACTAACACAGATTCAAGCGGGTTTCAGAGGAAACCTAGACGAACTGTTCAGCATTCTGAATTTCAAGTACGGGAGAATGAAATGAATCAGGAACCTGTAACTACTTTTAAGAACAGAGGCTCAGTTGATAGGTCAAATTACAAAAGAAGAGCTGTGGGAATTATTGCAAGAGGTGGTTCTAAGAGAGGTACAATCTCTAATAGACCATTGAAACAGAGAGTTGAACCAGAGTGCTCAGTGTCTAGAAATACTAGTTCCCAGGAGTTGAATTCCAGTGACAGAATAGGAAAGGAAAGTGTAAAAGATGCGTCAATGAAGAAGCAGAATAATTTCCCCTCTGGGGAGTCAAAGTTCAAGATAAATGCTTCTGAGGAGGATGTTGATACTCCGTTGCAAAGTGGTGTGGTTCGTGTTTATGAACAACCTGGCATAGAAGCTCCCAGTGATGAAGATGACTTCATTGAAGTGAGATCCAAAAGGCAAATGTTGATCGATCGACGTGAGCAGAATCGACGTGAGCAGAGGGAAAAAGAAATCAAAGCAAAATCAAGGGTCACAAAGGTATTGATGCTTTAGAAGATTATTGTTCTCTTTCATATATTTTCTCATTTGGCAGATTTCTGATGATTTGCAATTTCTCAATTACATTCTCTCTCACATCTCAGCTACTGCCCAAATCTTGTGCTCCTAGACAAAGTGTTGTGGTCTCAACAAGTCCAAATAAGCTTTCTGCACCACTGGCTAGACAATCATCAACCAACTATCACTCGGATTTTGTTGCCTCAGAGGAAAAAAGCTTGGGCGACAAAGAAGTAGTCGGAGGAACCACTGAAGTTTCCCAACCACTGGCTCCAATTGGCACTCCTGCTCTGAATACCGAAACTTCGGCTGAGACTCCATCTCATGCTATCATGTACCTATCATTCAATAGAAAGTTTGCTTGTGACACTTAATTAGAAGTATTCTTATGTATGTGCTTCTATATTTTTGCAGATCCGTTCAAACAGAACCGGTTTCTGTTGTTTCTAATGAAAGTGGAGATGACCTAGAGACTGTGAAAATGTTTGAGAACAAAAATAAGATTTTGGATAATTTCCAATCAGCTGCGAGTACTTGGGGCACTGCAGGACTCAATCAACAGGTATGCTCAACTATTTTTCTGTTTGATATGGGTTAGTTGTAGCTGGTGATCATTAGCACACGTGAGAATGCTTCAAGCAATCACATTTACTGTCAACTTCTAGTAAAAGGTGCTTAGCCCCTGTTTGATGGGGATTAAAATCAAATTTTTAATAGATTTTGATAAAAGTTGATGAAATGTGTGGTTGAAAAGTTGTGGATTCCATGAAATATGTGGTTAAAATTAATTGTTTACTTTGATTTAGATGAAAATTTAGATTTTAATCCCTACCAAACAGGGGCTTACAAGATGCAAAGATTATCTATTATTAGAGCTATTAATAAATATTTTCTACAGCAGAGGAATTTTTTCTGTCAATTTCAACTTTTTTTTTTTTTTTGGTTCACAATCTTCATGATATAGATGAGGGCACTTCTTTATTTCATTCACAATATCTTGGTCATTGACTCAATAGATAGAAGAACAGAAGGGGGATCATTACTACAACATATGTTAGCTCTTAAATGAAAAAAATACGTGCTAAACCTAACCTGTCTTTAAAAAGTTCTTAATATCTTTTTGAACTAAAATTATGTTGAATTTTAGTACTTTGCTTTCAGATGTCCTGATTTTATCAAATCATAATCATCATATGCCATTTCCATCAAGTTCTTTGCATGGAGTCTTATTGATGATTATCATCACTTCCATCGTTTCATCTTCAATCCGATCTCACTCCCAAGTAATTCTTCATTCATAAGCATTTTATATAGTACCATTTTCCCTGGAAGACGAGTTTTTGTATATTAGCACCAGAAAAGGATTTTTAACAAACTTATATTAGTTGCTGGATATCATATTTGTTAATTTCTCAATCATGGAATAAAGTTTGTTCCCAGGAAAATTTAGTGATTCTTAGAGCTTATTATGTAATGAATATNTTCCATGTGATTAGCTCCTGAATATGTGGATGTCGATCCTCTCTCACTGACAACCTGATACCTTAGGGCCTGTTGTCTTTGCTGTTTTCAAACCGTTTTCTGTTTTCGATTTTTCAAAACAGTGAAAACGCGTTCTTTTTCCTATTTTCAAAAACGCGTTTTTGAAAACAAGTTTAAAATTTACAAAGAAAACTCAAAACGAGTTTTGGTTGTTTTCAGTTATAATTTGGCCAAAATTTTCACCAATCACCCCCAACCACCACCACAGCCACAACATCACCCCAACCAACATCACCGTCGTTAGAACCACCACCACAGCCACCACCACAAAGAGAGAGAGAGAGAGAGAGAGAAAATTCAGGGGAGAAAGTAAATGCATTTCAGGATTTTTTATTTCTCAGAACAATTTTTAAAAATGGAAAAAAGAACACGTTTTCAATAATCTCAAAATGGACACTCAAAACACAAAACCCAAAAAGAATTTAAAACTAAAAACACAAAACTGAAATACGAAGAGAACAGTTCCTTAATTTCCCGGCTGTTCTCTATCTTGTTGTCTTGTGACACTAATCCTTTTTAATTTTATTTATTCTACTTGAGCTTCTTTTTCGGCGTTACAATCCCAGTTTCTTTTTTGAACCTCAACCACTTCCGTTTTAAATGAGATCCATATTTCCTTTTTGCCTGTTGATCCTTTTTGCCCCTCGTCACCATAGAAAAATTCTTGAAACCAAATGGACCATGTCTGTGCAGTGTAAATGCTTCTAATGATGAATTCAATTTCTGGCAGGTTATGGCCTTGACCCAGACTCAACTTGAGGAGGCTATGAAGCCTGCTCGATATGATTCACACATTTCTGTTGAAGGCAATTCCAGCACTGCTAGTGATCCTGTCTTGGCATCATCATCCATGTTAACAAAGGATAAGTCTCTTTCTTCTGGTGCAAGTCCAATCAATTCCCTGCTTGCTGGAGAGAGAATTCAATTCGGTACTATTTATTATACTGCAAGCTTAAGTTGCCACTCTAGTTTCAATTGATAAATTTCTGACTCTCTTATTTATCCAACAGGTGCTGTTACCTCTCCAACAGTCCTTCCTCCAAGTAGTCGTGTTGTTTCACATGGGATTGGGGCTCCGGGGTCCAATCGACCTGACATACAAATGTCCCGCAATCTATCTGCTGATGAGAAGGATAGTTCTCTATTTTTTGAAAAGGAGAAACACCCCAGTGACTCTTGTGTTACTCTACAAGATAGTGAGGCTGAAGCTGAAGCAGCTGCTTCTGCAATCGCTGTTGCGGCCATCAGTAGTGATGAGATTGTTACCCATGGGATAGGATCTGTAGGATTGTCAGATGCCAAAAACTTAAGAGGCTCTGACATTGGTGGAATTATAGCAGGTAGGCTTGAAGTTTCTTCCCCTATTTTGACTGAGCAGTCTTTACCTTTTCATTGGCAAGTTCATTTGACTGTTTGAATTTATTACAGCCGTATCAGAAGATCAGCAATTGGTAAATCATTCGCGATGTGAAGAATCATTAAGTGTATCTCTTCCTGCTGATCTTTCTGTTGAGACAACTCCAATCTCCTTGTGGCAACCGATGCCAAGTCCGCAGAGTTCTACACCCCAGATGCTTTCTCGATTTCCTGCAGGTCCACCTTCGCACTTCCCCTTCTATGAAATGAATCCGATGTTGGGGGGTCCAATTTTCGCCTTTGGTCCATGTGAAGATTCTTCTGGCACCCAATCACAACCCCAGAATAGTACAGCATCAAGTTCTGGACCTCCTGGTACCTGGCAACAATGTCATTCTAGCCTGGACTCAATTTATGGGCCGCCAGCTGGATATACTGGTCCTTTCATTAGTCCTCCTGGTGGTATTCCTGGATTGCAGGGGCCTCCACATATGGTTGTCTATAACCATTTTGCTCCAGTGGGACAATACGGACAGGTTGGTTTGAGTTTCATGGGTACCACCTATATCCCTTCCAGTAAGCAATCTGATTGGAAACACAATCCAACATCTTCGGCCATGCATGTTGGTGAGGGAGAGATGAGTAGTATGAATACTACTACTGCACAACGAAATGCGTCCAACATGGCTGCTCCTGTTCAACATCTTGCCCCTGGATCACCACTCTTGCCCATTGCCTCCCCGTTGACCATGTTTGATGCATCTCCATTCCAGGTAAAACATTTTATGCCTTGTGTAGATCATATAATGCTATTGAGGTTGTTTATGGTATGCCAATTCTGTTGTCATTTTCTTTCGCTTCCTGTCTTGTTCTGTTTGCATTCTTGATTAGTTGTAACAACAAACTAAGCCCTTGTTTGGTAGACCTTAAAATCAAGATTATAATTTAAGTCAAAGTCACCAATTTATTTCAACCACATATTTCATTAGACCCACAATTTTTCAACTACGCATTTCATCAACTTTTATCAAAATCTACTAAGAATCTGATTTTAATCTCCACCAAACAAGGGCTAAGCCTTATTCTTGATAAATTTGGAGTCTTCTACATGAATCATTTTTCACTGCTCCATTGATCTATAGTTACACTTGTCGGAATATTCAACATGATTTAGTTCTTGCAACTTCAAGTTATACGCTAATTGTACTTTAATCACTCCTTTAACACATAATTGGTCTAATATTGCTTTTGACCTTATATGGATGTTTCTATGATGAGAATATCTATAGAATTTCTCCTATTTATAAAACCTGCTCTAGCCCATGTGTTAACGTTCTCCTCAAGTCCGTCATTATTAAGCAAACCTAAATACCTAAAATGGTTACCCCGTGAGACAAATTTGCTTTATACCGCGTGTCTCCAATATCATCATTATTCTCAATATGAGCAAAAGACAAATTGTGTATATGATGACTTGATTGCTTGTGACAAAAAATCAACACTTTCAATCCTTACGTGGAAAATTCTGATTTTACCAGAAGCTATGGTTTCATTTCACGTTGGCTTTTATTATCTATTGAAGAATGACTCGGTAGATAAGAATACTGCAGGATTTATTGATTTTTGTTATTGGCTTCGAGCAGCTCTTATCTATCTTTAAGAAAAATGCAATATCTGATAACTTGAAACTGTCTTGAACTTCTTTTCAGTCTGCCCCGGATCTATCTTTCCAAGTTCGCTGGCCACATCTTCCTGCATCACCACTTCACCCTCTTCCTCTCTCACGACCATTGCAGCAAGAGGCAGATGTACTGTCTTCTCAAGTCAGCCGTGGACATTCGATTGACCAATCATTAAATGTCAATAGGTTCTCTGAGTCTCGAATTTCAACACCATCAGAGAATGACCCAACTTTTTCTGTGGCAGCAGATTCAAATATTGCTCAGTTTCCTGCTGAGCTAGGATTAGTAGGTACATTGAGATCCATCAATTCAGGCACATCTGCCCAGAGTGGCATCGATCGAAGCTCCACCGGAAGTGCTACTGCCGAATCTGGCAAGACTGACGTTGTTAAGAATGGCATTGACAAAAATGGTAAGCACCAGAGCACTAATTATCTGAAGACTCAGCCATTCCCTCAGAAGAATTCATCCACCCGGCAGAGTAAATCCTCTGGCTATATTTATCAAAGAGGTGGTGGGATGTCCCAAAGAAACAATGCAGGAAATGAGTGGTCCTATCGAAGAATGGGTTTCCATGGAAGGAACCAGTCTTCTGGTGCAGAGAAGGTTGGTCTAGGTTCAAAAATGAAACAAATATATGTGGCTAAACAAACCACAAGTGGGAGTTCTAATGCAGCAGCATGAGCAGACATTAGGGTTTATGGCGAATAATGGAAAGATTAAAAGTGCGCATCACTTTTGATAATAACATGTAGCTTTCAGATCTTCAATTGTAGGGCTTCACAAGATGCTTAGTTTTGCGATTTTCATTTTGTGGTAAACGGTTTTGGTTTTGGGTGGATTGCAGAACCAGATGGTGATAGTTATTTCCAAATCTGGCAGTCTCCAAGTCTCCCTCTGGGTATTTGTGCAGTAAAGAGTTCCCTCTGTACTGCTTCATCTTTTCTTGGCTGCAACCCCGAATAGTTTGTCTTTACCGTTACAACTTGGTTTGATGTATTGAACTGTAATAGCGCTAAACGATATATTGTTCGTTATTGTTAATGATTATTAAAGTTAGAGAACTCGATTGCCTATTTGATATTTAATGTTGGAAGGGATTTATTGGGGTGTTCAGATTATTGCTCAAGATATGCTGCTGTTACATGCCTTCTGACATTGCATCTCGATCATGAAATGGCTTTCATGGTGTGTGGGTTTGTTCTCGATGATATGCCTTGGTATATGGATGCACAATGAACTTTCTTCTGCATCTATTTGGAAGAACGAGACTTCATACTGGTGTAGATTAAGTGCTTAAACCGGAAAGGGATGTACATTGCCTGGTCTGTCACGGGAGGCTGGTTAATGCATGTTCGGTGGATGTAAATATATATATATTTTTAGTCATTGGCAAGTGCACGAGTCCCATTGCTGTCGCAATTATTGACTATCTCAGAAATAAATTATCAAAAATGTCACTCTCTCAAGAAGAATGAATTAAATGTTAAAATGACACATAAGTAATTCTGTTGAATAATGCTACTTGCAGTCGCTCACTGCAGCAGTCGTCCTATGTGACACACACATGTCAAGTGTGTATTTGATGCATTAAATGTGGTCAAAAATTATCACATTAATGCATCAAATAACTACATGACATGTGTATGCCACATAGGGCGNGCCACATAGGGCGACTGCAAGTAGCATTACTCAATTCTGTTTGGTCTAATCAATAATTGCAACTGGTATGAGAATGACATACATTATATCACGGTAAAAAATTTGCTACAAATTGGATAAAAAGTGTTCCCAGACGGGCTAAAGATGAATAAATTACTACCAATCTAATCGTCCGCAACAAGAACATATATAGTTAATGAAGCAAGATTGCTTTCTAGTATGACAAACAAAACTATGTGAACCACAACCTATAATCAGAAGTAAAGTTACAATGTTTAAGGCTATCAAAGGATTTGATAAAAAAAAAAAAAGAGCCGTTTGATTTAAGGCTTGTTTTATGGGACTTTTATTTCATGTAGAAAAGCTTCTTAAGAAAATTACGTTATTAAAAACTAAATTTTCAAAGAATTTTCTCATTCGGTAATACATTTAGTGGAAGACTAATTGAGCCAACTTCTTTTAAGAGTTCATCTAATTATATTAGAGGAAACACTTTTATAAAGTAAACCATAAAATTCTAAGAACAAGTTTTAAG